TCAAGCTGAGAGAACGCAATACAACCAAGACCATCCACCTGAGCTACAAATATTCTCCAATATTTCGAAAGGGGATATTTCTGTCAACAGTTCACTTGCTCGACCACTGTCTAACACTGAGTGGGAGGTTCGCTCGGCAAACAGTATGATTTAATTCTTTCAGTCCTCAAGGGTAGTTTCAATTAGTGAGTTGTGACCTGATATTTTCACTTGGGAAGATAAAGTTGTCATTCTTCAGGTAGCCTAATGGGTAGTAGTAGTAGTAGTAGTAGTCTCACTCACACTTTCGCGTTTACCCCCGTATCATACAAGTCATTGAAACTACTAATCTACTGTTTAATTTCCTCCGAATAATCACAAATATTTCCACTTTTAAGTGTAGCAGCATCTCTTTGTAGTGTAACAAAACTCCCACCACTGCATTCTGTCCATTTTGCCACACATGACTATTATATGTCCAAGCTGCATATATCTTTCACCAAACAGTTGAGCATTCACACATGAGAGATATCAGTATGATTTAAATGACTCTGATTTCACTACCAAAAACAAGTGTAGATAAATGTGCTTTGACACCTTAATGTTATCTATGAGGGAATGCGAGGGTAAGACGAGATAGAATTATACGCGTTGAGTAAATTAGGTGCACGAAAACAAAACATCTTTCATTTATTTGGCCTATACTTTGTGACCAATTATGAAATTCCAAACAATCTTCAGCTATAGCTTGATACCACTCAAGTTCTCAAATTATGAATTTTGTGATGAGTCCGTGATACTTATCTACGGCTGTTGGACAAGTCATTTCACTTTTCAGTGCCGAGAATTTCTGGAATTCGGTTACATTTCCAGATAAAAGCCTCTTCAAACTCCTCATAGTTGTTTGAAAGTTCCGTGTTGTAACATGCAACAGAATACTGTTTACGGGAATCTCTCACCTGACCAGTACTTGGTCGCTACTCCACTGTTCAGTTATTAGGAGTCTTATCGTGATTCGACACACAGTCGTCGAGAAAAGAAACAGTTTCTTGAAAGATCATTTCGTCGTTTCCAGATACTACATAGTCAGTGTATCGGCACGAGTTAACTTCTAATAGCGTGCTTCTCACTTTCGGCTACTTTTTGCGATGACACTCCCAGTGGATATATGATCATGCAGTATGTGAATATTTCAACTTCTGCTTGTAAGCAAGAGTTCTGTGTTGCATTCACGTTTACTCCAACTGTATCTCAGCATAAATGTTTCGTCTTATTTCCTCGAATCGTCTGTCGTATGGATGCTACTCTTGGCAGACCACACATACTGCTAATTGCTTTTCCAAAATGGCTGTGCATTCTTAACTACTCTTGCACATATCTCTCGCAATACATGCCATAGCATATTTTGATGGTATTATATACTTCTTGTTGCCTATAAGTACCATTTCCCCCGCAATTATGATTAAGCAGCTGGAAGTTTCTTTAGCTCGTTGGGTGATTTTGTTCTCTCTCGACATCGAACCTACATGCTACTACTTCATTCGCTAGAACTTTATCCTCTAGGTCTGCAAATCATGACAGTCTCCTACTGTGCAGCAGTTGTTATTTATAAGCTATTTTTGGTTTTCGTTCTCCTCATTTGTAATCGTTTATTGACGTGATCGAACTCTGTTGTCTTTACGGATGCCTCGTTTTTATCTGAAAATTTATTTTTGTATTTTTATCGGTGGTGGCTAGCAGTTAATGCTGTCCCTTCGTTTTGTCTTATCTCGAACTAGCCACTGGATTTGCTTACAGCGTAGTGAGTTGCGGTATTCCCTCAGTCACCTTGTGTATGTTGCTTCTGCCCCCTAAACGATAATTAAGAGGTTTGAATCTCAATGTGAATACCACCACTCACTGAAGCGCAGGTACATCCACCAGACGAGTCTCAAACAGAAGGAAACGTAAGTCGAGGATTTCACTGCAATCTATCACAAAATACTTGGTAAAAACGCATATTCGAGTATTATTGAGATATTTGTATAGAATCCAGCATGCCAGCAGGGGTGGAAAAATTTGATCCAGTATAACATGAAAGAATTTCGAAAACTGCGAATCTTGATTTTCTTGGTAAACTGCTCCACATTGAGGCTGTGCTTTGGAAGCATATTTTGTTAAAAATTTGAGAATATGCAATGTGTCTATGATCAACCAGTACTCCTTGCAAAAGACGTAGATCATGACGCTAATCATCCGAGTTTACCAATTGTTTGACAGACATTTCAGCAAAGAATTATACGAAATTTTATCATTTATGATTGTTAGGGATTGCATTTCTACCATTGTATTTCACTACTCTCACATAAGTGAAATCCAGTAGTTGCACTACTACTATATTTTCGTTATAACTGTACATTCCCAAATGTTTGTGTGTGTTTTCCGTTTCATTTTAACTTGTTATTTTGACTAGTGGCTGTCAATAAATTCAATGTTGACGTCGGGTTGTTCTTATGTTATCTGCATCGGAATTTCATGCATCAATTTTTCTCTATATGCACTTTTTTCCTCAGATTTTTTGACTACCTGAATTCACCCATTTTTCAATGGGCGAATACCAATTTTTCAGTCTACTTTTGCCGGGATGCAATAGAAAAAGGCTTTAGAATGATTTCATAACAGTACTAAATGTACTTTAATCATTTGGGTAGTGCGTGCTTGAGTAGTTCTTATTTGTTGCCTAAACTTTCCAAACAAATCTTTACTCGTCTCTTTTACCAGTCACGCTTCCAGAGGTTGAGCCTAATTTGATTGTCACTACCACTTTTCATTAATAAACTACAAGCTTTAGATAGAGGGAAGTGTAATGAGAGTTTTCGAACGAAGACAAGTAACAAAGATGTTTGTATGATGGCTCAAACATTTAGAAAAAAATAGGCGTGGGTGCTTTCAGTTAATCGATACTCTCGTTGTTTACGTCATCACAGTAAAAGAAGGTATTGAAGAGTTTATTGTGATTTTTTAACATTCAATAGTGGGATAAGATGATGTTTGTGATAAAGACGATGTATGAACTGTTTACTGCTGCATTAAAATAATTGAACGATCCATACTTTCAATATGTTACAAATAAATGCAGTGTGGCAAATGCAATATCCATTATAAGTTTGGAAGTGAACAATTATTCAGAAATTAACGGGATGGATAACGTAGTATATGTATTTAAATAATGATTATCGCCTTTATGTAGAAAGTGACATGAAGTCTCATGTGGTTCACAAAAGGAGACATTTGAGCAAGAACAGCCACAGTTTTTATGAGACAATCTGCAACAAGTTACTGAGTAGCTGCTCAACTGCCAATTTTAGTTACCCTTAAGTCTGCCTATTTTCCTACGCATGCTAGTGGGATTACGGTAAATTATCTCTTAAGGGAACTGTTTACAGTTCAGACTTGGTTATTTAAATTCCGTACATTTATCTGTCGAATAAACAACAGCACTAAGTTCAATTAGATATGATCATTTATCCATTCCTGCGAGATTTGAAATGCTTATAGTAATTTCATATTTCATTAATTTACTAAACATTAGATTAACTGTTTATTAGATCGGTTTTCACAAGTAAAAGTGAAGGATTCAAAATGATGGATTATATAAAATAAGCGTTCGCGAATTGCGTCCCAACTTTACACGAATACGATAAGTTTTATATTCCCTGTTGTCCTGCAAACTTCCCCAGTCAGAGGTAAAGCTAAGCAAATATAGATGGTGATAAGAATTCAGTTCTCCTTTTCCACGATTTCAGAACTAAACTTCCTTAAAATAGGATTACTGGTAAAGAAAAGAACCTCTGAGCTGACAATAAGTGAACTGAAGGATATGTTCTTAACCTACCAACGGATCACTAAGGAAACTATTTCTACTTCAATTCATCTTCAGCTCTGAGACTAGAGCAGTAGGTTTTCATTTAGAAGTATCGCTTTTAAAATGTCAAACTCCTGGTCGCCCTCCTGATAGTGAACATAATCCTTGCATTCTTATCATCATCTGTTTCGTTTCTTTTCCCTTAATTTTAAGAATATATTCGAATGAAGGAAAGCAAAAGTTATTCACGCAAATGCAAATAAAAATAAAGATTTTCCAAATTCATTTTCAGACCTTTCATTGGTGTCGTAAACTTTTGCTACAGCTTAAAAGTACTTCAGAGTATGAAAAGTGAGCAAATCGTTGCAACTTCAAAACATGAAATAGGACATGTACTGGTAGGTTATATCGTTAACCATTTTTTCTGTCAACCCAAGTGACGCTCAAACATCGTATTCGTGCGAAACTAGGATTGTCTTATATTACTGGATTACTGTGCACCTTATTATTTAGATTGACTATTATACAACAGACTATTTTACGCATGAAAACAGGTTTTTCTGAATCATTTTTATGAACTCTAACCTTTTGAAAATATTTTTCTGGCCACTCTGAATATACAGATGTTACAGGAATTGTGCTGAAGTATATATCGAAGGCTAGGCTTGCCAATAAGTGTATGGGTTTGGGACGACGTTAGTACGTTAGAAACAGTTTGTTGGAGGAAGCACATTGATATCCATAGACACACGCAATAATGTGCAGTACGGCTCGACAAATAAAAAAATCTGACAGAATACTTTGTTCACATTACGTTCAGTATTGCTTTCTGTACAGAGCTTAAGTTGTGAATGTAATTAATGGTGAAATCGGTGGTAAAAACAAGTGATTTCTGGATTGTAGTCTCATAGCGGAATTTATTGTGTCATGCCTAGCTGAAAACCAAATGGTTCCAGTACATTGATGAATTGTTGTCACTTGTGAATGACACCCATATAACTGCATAAAGTTTCCCACTTTTGGTTGAGCATTTTCAGTGCAATTTAAAACTAAGTAACTTTTTCACAGACACTCCGTATGCATAAGCATGCAATCAGCTGTGACTATATTGTTCTACAGAGTGCAGACTGAAACACTATTGACAATATACAGAGCTGGTTCATTTGTTTGAAGAAGAATGAAAGAAGCCTCAAAGTCTGCTTACAAAAATATTGAATTCGATCATTGTTATGAATGGCGTAAGCAAACTGATTATGCTTACACTGACCCATATTTAATGAATTTTTACTTGCCTATGGAGCAAACTGGAGGTTAGAATTACGTATTTTGCGCGGGGAAAGCATATATATATATAGTAACTGTGATGGAATAATCAGTGCATTAGAAAAACAAATAAAGAATTTCAAAATTCTCTCAGAGAAATTTGTGTTTTTGTAATTTCAACTGCGCCGATCATTTATCTTCTATTTTTAACATGCATTCCTCATAGTGAAAGTTGTTGAATGTGATCTATTTCAACAGGAAAAATGAATAATTGAGGTATATTTTAGTGTGGCAAGCAAAAAAGATACAAAAATTTGTTTTTATTTTACAGGGAATTCATCCAAGCGTTCTCTATCACATACAAGAATTCAATGCAGAACTAAAAAACGAGTAAGTCGTTATATTTCAAATCTGCAACAAGTGGACTAATTTACTCCTGCCCATTGAAACATCATCAGATGAGAATATAATTATTGCAGATGGCAAACGAATTGGAGAATTATTTAAATTTATTGATAAATTCTCCCTTTTTTGTTCATTTTTATGGTGATTTCATGAAAACAAGTTGGTTTGACTACCTCCATTTTAGATTGTTAATTGGCCAAGTAACAAAATAAAGCACAAGCAATTACTTCTATTGGTTGGTCACAGGAGTGCAACCAATTTGATGTTGTCTAGTCCTGAGTGTAGACCGGATCCTATGGATCATATTTGCAATGTGACCACCAAGCTAGCAAATTAAGCAACGTGGTGGACATTAGTAGATGTTAGTTGGTTGGAAGCGATTGGCAGGAAGCATTGGACCTAGGTTACGTGCTTGCCGGCACTCGTCACCAAAGCGTATCTGCAACGTCGACAGAAGTGATGTCCTGCCTGAGATCCGAACACGTGTCACCCAGTGTTGCAGTCAGACACTCTGCCACTGAGCTATTCGGGCCGCGATTTACTTGATGTCCACGGCATCTTGCCGATCGCTTCCAACCAACTAACATCTACTAATGTCCACTACGATGCTTAATTTGCCAGCTTGGTGGTCACATTGTAAATATGATTCATAGGATGCGGTCTACACTCAGGACTAGACAACATGAAATTGGTTGCACTCCCGTGACCAGTCAATACATGTAAGCCAGTCGTACAGGAGGTCAATCGCGACCCGAATAGCTCAGTGGTAGGGTGGCTGACTGCAACACTGGGTGACATGTGTTCGAATCTCAGGCAGGACATCACTTCTGTCGACGTTGCAGATACACCTTGGTGACGAGTGCCGGCACGCATGTAACCTAGGTCCAAAGCTTCCTGCCGATTCCCTCCAACCGACTACCATCCACTGTCATTTACTAGATAAGTTTTAGGACATGATTTATTTTCTATATTCACTTTATGTGGTGTCGTCCGATTGCATATGTCATATATGTCATATATAGCATGATATATATGTGGACAAAGATTTATGACCACTTTATCCAGGAAATGGTAATGTTTCACTGTTTTTGAGTGCTAAGTAAAAGACTAAAATTAAGTCACAATCTACCACATTGCTTAATTTTCATTTCTCTATTAATGGTTTAGTTAAGATCTTTAGATGATTGCGTTCAGAATGACTGAGGAAGTAAAAAGTTTGAGCAAACTGCCGCAATCAATAATACTTATGTTGTTCTGACTGGGTTACCTACAAAGATTGCATGAAAAAGTTTTAGGTAAAAACGTCAATTACTTTGATTTGCGCTACTTTATTGCATGCTTTGTAGAGTTATAAGACGGAATTCATACTTCAGTCAGCACGCCCACCACATCCGTTACCTCCTCTCCTTCCGAGAATCTCTCTTCTCCTACTCCACTTGATCCCCCGCCTCTTCACACTGCACCTCGTCATGCTTGCTCACTCATCTTGTCACTATGCCGTTGAATCTAATCTGATCACCATAGTGTAGATTTGTCCGTTGAGGAGTCGATTTGCTCTCATCCTGTGCTGAAATGCATCAGCCAGCTTGCACAGCATCCTGTTCACTGGAAGTATCCAAATCATTCCCTGTGTACATTCGTGCTTGTCAGTGTCTGTGTGCGGATGAGGTAACCTGATGTGAAGGCGATTCGGCGAATTGATGAATGCCTGACTGATCGGTGGTGTTTGTGAGCGTAAGGCGTGTGTTGTATGTTGTGAGTGCTGGGCGAGTGAGTAGTTGTTGTGTTTGGTGAGATTGGGCCACAGACGGGCTAGGAAAATTGCTTCTGACAACAATATTTCACGCCATCAGTGCGGGGTACTGGTAGTAGTTCCCAACTAGCAATAACCGCGCCTCAGACATACTCCATTGGCTACGGTGCCGCCCCTACGTAAAGGCAGCCTGTACAACACAGACGTCGCAGGACCGACCCACCACTCAAACCTAATCGTCGAACAACCATCTGCAAATCGAACAACACGACACGCACAAACAACACACCGCCTCCCATCACTCACACTCCACAAACACCACCTAAATGCCCAACAACAAATCAACACTCTACTCAATACAAAAACCCACACTAAACTCACCAAATCACATGTAACTTCATAGACGCACACCCACTCATGCTACTCAAACACACTAATCAGTAGCCACTGTGTTCAACGCCTATCCCAACATACATCCAGTCGAACAGCGAACACGTCACAAGAACAAAGACACACCGACACAATCACCAACCACCTAACTCCCTCCACAACCCCAATCACAACACGGCGAAACACGCAGACACGCACACCCACCCACCCATACACACACACACGCTCAGCAGGTGGCAAACACACACCCAATCTCCTTCCTAACTCACTAACCTATTCATCATTGCTCCACTGCATAATATGCATCAATGACATATGCTCGTCCTCTCGAACAGTCCTCCTCATCAACTGTGTCATTCGTAGAAGGCTTTAGAGTGACTTCCACTTGGGACGGAAGCGAGTCGGTCAAGATTGTAGGGGCTCCTATCAATCTTCAATTGACATGAGATGACATGACATGACATGACACAGTTGTGTCCAATGATTATTGAATCTCAACGAACAAAAGACCTCCAACGCCATACAAGTGACAACCATTCATCTCAGTATCACGTGCTTTAGTCGACTTTAAACATGCCGGATAAGAAAGGTTAGTATATATTCACACAAATGAATTCACTATGGAAGAATGCTTCACTCGGATACCATTTTTACATTTGAAACAGTTGGCTGGGAAATCAGCAACTGATTCATTTAAAATAGTTGACTATCACCAAAATGACCAGCGAAATTATGTTAGTCTTTCCTTAACTGATAATTTAGGCATTTATTGACTTGTGGAGTAACAATGACCATCTTTTACCTGTGCTTGTCTTAAATTGAAGTTATTTTGGTTATGTGGTGTTTCACACTAAAACAAAATAATGTTTACGCAATAACAGAATAAGTTAGTGTGACTTATTTTGTGTTTTTTGTCACTTGTCGTGTTAACTAACTGTTACCTGAAATCTTTGTGTTTCAAGTCGAACGCTTGTCCAAAATGTGACTCGTCACTGGGTGTCAGCCAGGGGAACAGCTGAAGTAACGAAACAAATAATCAGGTTACCAACTATGCTCGTAAGTTGTAAAGAGTATTTGGTGAGCAATAATAAGCTTCCAGTATAGTTAAAGACACCATGCGTTTGTAAATAAATGCAATGTGCTGTGAAATTTAATTGAAGGCAATGAAATTCTTTTTTCCAAGGCCTCATTTTGTACTGAGATGGCTACTGTTAGCTTTTCTTTAATTAACTTTCTATCCTACCATAAAATGAATATAATTATGTCACAGCATATATCCCTTGACCCTGAAATGCCAAAACACTAGGTTACATAACTAGTGCTGTTTTCGACTTCGATATTTTTAAAGAAGGTGACACCTATTTAGGTTTCAGCAGTCTGAATGTAAAATCATCATTTCAAGAAAAGTATAAGCTTTTTCAGAAAAACTAATGCACACATGTAGCCAGCCTATTCAGCATTATTTTTAGGCAATTCTGGAAGGCTGAATTTACATTGAAGTCGTAAAAGAAGATTATCATTGGGCTTGTTAGAACTCAGAAACTGCCAAATTATCTATGTGCTCTGAAGTTTACTGCAACCCGGCAAATTTAATTTAATTACTACGATTACTGATCCAAGAACCAGCTTCATGGGATCCAGTACATATCACCCTTAGTTTTGATAGCGGTATCATGTTTTCTGAGGTTTGATATGTTGTCGTGGAAATCCCGCCACCAGGCCTAAGGACATCCCCAGTACCAACCTCAAAATAAAGTTAAGGATGTACGGATCCTAACTGAATGCTTGATTGTTCCTCACTTGTAAGTTTGGGAAGAAACTTTTGTTACACCTTGACCTATTTCAACCTTACCCGGTCATGCTGGAAGAGAATATTTCTTAGGGTGATAATTTGCTATTTGTTACTATCCCACTATGGTTCATGATTGATTTGTTTCGCCAGTTCATCTTTGGTTGATGGATGGCTGTAATTAGATTATAGATCCAGTATACACCGCCGTCTCTGTTGACTGACTTTTTGTCTGGATGCAATGCTTACAGTTCTCTTGGAGCCCTTACACCTGTTGTTTGGAGGATTTCCGCATTCTTCTAGACGGATGTATAATTGTCTGCCTTTACTGAAATCAAAAAGATTGTGTAATACTGCTTTACTTGAACTAAGTGTTCATGAATTTTTTGATCAATCTGCTGGGAAGACTGGTCTACGTGGTGCTTTGAACAATCCTTGCACTTGATTTTGTGGATTACATTTGTTCTGTTTTGATATGCCAGCGGATTCCTCGGCTTGCACAACATGTTCTGTAGTGATTTCGAATCCTGAATATACTTTGTAATTGGTTGAGAGTTTCTGAGAAATCTGATGTGAGATAGTGTAACGAACCTATTGATTTGAGACAATTACCCTCTCTTTTCTTCTGTTGATTAATACATTTTGGTAAAGTTGAAAGGATGATGAAACGTCCACAACGGAATGTCAAAGCTTACACGACACCCAACCATCATCGTCCTAGTCTTGAGCTAGAAATCTTTTCCATCTTTTCAAACATTTTGTTTTTAATGAGAGCCATTTTCAATGGAATATGTTCTCGAACAATAAATCAGGTTCTTGTGCCATGCAAATATAAGTGTATATATATGCATCTTGTCTACCGATAAAACATACATAGAAGTGACTACCGATTGTTTTCCTCAACAGACTACTAGAAAACGAGGACAGAATTTCCCTCCTCTCCGCATTTTATGTGACCGGTACATGAATAGACCCAATAACTTTAGTGTGGTTGCACTTTTATTGCTAAACAATTAAGAATGTGTCCAAAACAGATTTCTATTCACAAGCACATAGTGATTATTTCAAAGTAACTCCTAGTTTGACGAATTACACCAAGATTCAGTACGAGATCTTACCGCTGCGAAATTTATTCGCCATCCACGTTTACTTTTAATTCAACATTTCTGCTTTGGTTGTTATCTCCAAAAGAGAAGGCAAGGGATAAAGTAAG